CGCTAGGCTAGATGCGAGTTAGGTAACACGCCTTTGCTTAGAGTATAGTTTAGCGACCGTCGGTGTATTTTAGTGGCTCAAGTGGCAAGTGTGACAGTAATAAAATTCCTTTGCTCCGGCGACGTTTCGGAGGTTCACCTCGCGAGCCCGGAGAGCCTGCGATGAGTCAACCCCAGAAGTGAACAGATAGAGTAGTCAGAGCGTCATAGAACACTATCTATGGAACGACGAACGACGGCGATGGCACAGAATATTAAGTGCGCATTTTCTTCCGGGCGATGGCAGCCAGCAGCACCAGCGGTGGGAATTTCTCTACGAAGGTGATAAATTAAAACAGATCCCCATTAGCTATTCCGGTTTCATAATCTCTTCCCGGAATGAAGCCGACTTGCGCTGTGCTATTTATTTAGGCCAAACGGAAATATTGTGTATCCTTTCGCAGTTGCTGCCTGTCGCTACTGCGGCTGCTGATGTTGTTGGGGGTGATGCGAGGTGCTTTCCGAATGGTGAATTGCTAGGTTTGGAGTCTTTTGCGCTACAGCTGCCTATTTTCGGAAGTTGACATGCCACGGCTACAGCAGTACGGGGAGGAATAATTTATCAGGTCAAAATTGAATATTCCGGTGAAACAGCTGTCGGTTCGTGAGGTGTAGTAACAGATATCATCTTCAATGTTGACATTTTGAAGGCTTCTTTTTGGATTAATTAGTGAAATAAGACGTCGGGTAAAAGGATTTCGTTTGATGATAGGTGAAGTATATCAAAGGATATGCACGAACAGCTTTGCCGAAGGCAACTTGCTTGGACCAGTTCTTCTTCCTGGCTTTGAAGTTCTTACACGTGCTTTCACCTGTTCTCGACTTAGTGTTCTTGATGAAGTTTCACAGTTTAGAGCTTTATGAGCCAACCAATGCAAGAATATGTATATTGTGTGGCAATTACTATGATACTCTATGCCCAAGGAAATCGAGATCATTCAAAACCCGAAAAATGATCTAAATCGGACCGGGAATCGACACCGCAGTATCCGGCTTGTTTATACCTAACTAGGCTATAATGAGCATCTGCGAATTTATAAATCCTTTTTCGAATAACTTTTGAATTTGTATAGTCATGAGGTATTTTAGAGATTGTGTCGACTAGTTCGGTGTAGACATCATCCGCTATCTGGATAGAATTGATGCGAGACAAGTGATATGTTAACACTTATCTTTTCCTTTACGATATTGCAAAACAAAACGCCGTAATTCATCTTTAACCGCTGACTTGCTCCTGCTAACTGCAGGACCCAGTGCCACGACGTCCGAAGTGGTAATGAGCAGAGGCAGTAGTAATAAAATTTACGTTTATCTGCTGGTTTTTCAAGTTTCAACATTTGGTTTACATTTAAATTGGTTAGCCTTTGGCCCTTCATCTTTGTTCTTGTTAATTAGTTATTCTAATGTGATGATTGTGTTTAGCGCTAATTTACAGGATACTCTTTTAAGGGCTTGTTTTCGTTTGAATTTAAAAAAATTGATAACCTACCTACTTGAGCACAGGAACCTACCTACCTACTTAAACTAGGTTGCCAAATCACGAATGCTCTGGTGGTTTGATCGCAGACAGGCGACTCTGAACCTTTCCAGTGTGGAAGTCTTTCGCTCCTCGAGTGTTTGAAGACCGGCCAGGTGATGAATCTCAGAATTACGAGTTCGCGGTGGACTGTTAAGAATCATTCTGAGGATTTTGTTTTGGATCGTCCGAAGCTTTAGGTGGTGGCACTTAGCACAACTCTCCCAGATTGGCACACCATACTCAATAGCCTGCAGAATGATCTGCTTGTGGACAGCAAGCTTGTTTTTGAGGGACAGGTGGACTTCCTGTTTATCAGAGGGTAGAGCGACCTGATCAAGATGTAACACTTGGTGAATGTCTTGTCCACATGGGATCGGTATAGCAATTTGCTATCGAGGGTGATACCGAGGTAGACTACTTCACTCGACCATTCAATGGGAGTGCTATCAAGATGGATCTTGACGTTAGCAGGCGGAACAAGCCGAGGTGAATTCGAGTGTGGAAACAGAATGGTTTGTGTTTTAGCTGCATTGAAACAAATTTTCCAACTCTTGAAAAAGTCGCACAGAACATCCAGGCCTGATTGTAGTTTACGAACATAGACAGGATACCACCACCCGGCAGGGAAGGAACGACTGACGTGAAAATGTTGAGTAGGATAGGCCCAAGCAGGCTACCCTGAGGGACCCCTGCATCAACGTTGAACGTATCAGAGGGGACATTGTTCAAGTAGACCTGGAATGATCTGCCCGACAAGTAGTTTTTGATGATCTTCACGAGGTAGATCGGAAAGTTTGTTGCAGACGGCCTCAGCAGGTATGAAAGCTTTGGTCGAACCGGCCAACGCACAATGATCACCTAAACAATACCGTAGATTTCATCGTACAATCTTTATTCTCCTGCCATTTTCTTCCTTAACTCCTGAACCTTTACTTGACGCATCCGCATCTCCTAACTCTCACTAGCTTCTTCTTTCCTCTCTCTTTCCACCGTTTTCTCTCATTTACTCACGATCTTCTCGTACATTCATCTTGCTGCTTAACCTCTGCACCCGAGCCTTCGTTCGGTCCGTATATCGTGGATGCTTCCACCGATGCGGACGCCTTACTCTGGCCAGGCGATAGACTGATCCACGCCGTCTGTGATCCACCGGTTGATTTGAGGCTGTACAAACAAAAGCCCTGAAGCGGTGCTTCATTAGACTCGCTGTGGCACTGAGGAGTGCAGCGCGTACTTACTCCTGTGTTGAAGGCTCTTGCTTGGCACTTATGGTTCTCTCAATTCGCGGCGTGTGTGAGCTGATGCACCTTATTTGGCCTCCGTCTCATTCAGATCGTGCTCGTTCTCGTTCGACCGACTAATGGATTTGATGTTTTTGCGGGGACAGAGCTTTCTGCTCTGCGACGTGGGAAAACGGTGTCGCAGAATGTGCGGAATATCTTCTGTTTCTAAAGTGAGAATTAGTTCCCAGCTCCGAAGATAGGTGTATTGGACTTACCGTTACTCGGTAGTTTCCTTGACGAGGATGGGCCCACACCATCCCACTCGTCGAAATCCTCGCTACGGTGCTTCCGTCACTCCGGCAAATTTGTGCACCTCACGCGTTGAAAGCACTCTTCGTTGCACTGGTGGACTCTGTTTCTACCGGTATGTGATGGCGAGCTTGCCGACACTGTCCGGGACAGTCGTGTGAGTGTGTTTTATTGTCACTTTGGCGGAATCAAGGATTGTCATGTCTCGCCCCAGCGGTGACGTTTGCCCAAGTGGCGTATCTTCTTTTTTCGTGCACACGTTTAAACGATTGTTCTCAAAGCTCATATATTTAACTAACTTTCATACATAACACAACCTTACCACAGCCGCAGAGTTTTATGTGAGCGATGATGAAGATGCTCACAAAAAACTCTTAACTCACTTCCAAAAGAAGTCGCATATAGACTTGACAGATCTCATTGGTTATCGGCTTAAGCAAATCTTAAGATGTAGATAACTGCAGCATAACTAAAACCGTGAGCCTTTTCGCTCACCAGATCCAAAATCCCCAAACTAAATCAAAACAATCATAACGGCAGCGATTCCTGCCAGAGGTTGATCTGAACGCCCAATGACGGGCAGAATGTCTCTAAGTTGTTGTGCAATCTTCTGTGTTAGGCGACCTGTGGCTTGACATTCAATAAGATCTATACTAGCTTTAGCAGCTAAAATAAAACTAGAGATCTACCATTAAACAATTATTGCTAATAACATGTTGGCTAATATTTCGAACGGATTAAGTGGGTTTGATCCAGTGCTTTTGAGAAAGGAAGCATTTCCGCCACCTAAGTTACTATGAGCCCAGAAAATAGGATAAAACCGCGCCTCCTGTTCGCGTTACTTTAGAAAATCATAGTAACCCCAAGCAAACGATCTCCACTTCGTTCAAGACCTGTGCCTGGAATTTATCAGTCAATGTCGTTCAACGAATTCCTCTCCTGATCGTTCGATCTCCCGATCAATTGAGGGTGTTGGAAAGCACTTCAATTTGTCGAAAGCCTGGTGCCTGTCAGTTTTCCTGCGTCGACTAGATTTATCCATGGCGGTTGTCGGGTATTGATGGTGGTTGAGACCGAGTTCGACAGATCGCTCTGGTGTTTGGTCCACGGTAGTGCAAGGAATGGCGAGGTTTCGGTACGTGTTGTTGGTCCTCAAGCCTTTTCTATATGACGGGTTTTTGGTGGCAGTGATGCTCGTTGTCGACAGCTCCTTGCATGCTGCGTTCATAGCTTGAACAATCATCCGATCAAGAGCCGGATGCTTCGGCGAAGCTGCTTTCGCCGGTTGGATGCGAGGTTTTGGTTGATTGACCTTCCAGTGTGTCCCGACCTGGTAACGGCATGCTAGCCTCGCGCATAGCATGGTTGGTGTCTCTCGCTCCAACAAACGGCACGCCGGGGTGGGCACAGCTGGCTTGAGCTGGCTCAGCAACGTGTCCCGATCTGGTTTCGTTCGCCTTGTTCCCAAACGATGGGCATCTTCCACGGCACAGTGAGATGAATCGATGGCGGAGCAGCACTGTTCGAAGAAAGTCCTCCGTGTTTCCGGAGCGCGTTTGGTGTTACTTCCACTGCGTCCCTTACTGCTACCCTTAGGCGTTGTCTACTTGTTGTGCTGCACCATGGAATCTTTACCGTTTTTTTCTGATTCACTGATCGATGATCAAATTGTTCGCAGTCACTACTGCTTACATAGCTGAGGGCTTCATATCCTTGGCATGATATTGCCCTTTTTTCCCATCCTTCACATCCTCCAACTTGTATATGTTGCTGCCGATAACTTCCACTACCACCGCTGGAACGAACTTCGCGTCAAGCTTCTGGTTAAAGTGATCTACTTTGGAAGACTGCGTGAAGTTCCTGCGCCAAACCAGATCTCCGACCTTGAACGTCATGTCCCGTGTTCGCAAGTTATAGCGCTGCTTGCTCGTGGTTATTCTTGATCCGCTTAATGATGAAGTTGTGGATTCGGCGGATTGCCGATAGCCGTACCTCCTGCGCCACCTTAGGGTCATCTGAGATGTTGAGGTCCTGTTGTACGTACAGGTCAGTGTGCAGGATTAGCTCCCTTCCGAAGTTCGCATAGTGCGGACTAACGCCTGTCGCCTCATGCTTCGCTCCGTTGATTGCTGCTACGATGGCTTGCAGATTTTCATCCCACGCTCGGTGATCCTCGTCCAGAAGAGCTCTTATGCACGTGATTAGCACTCTGTTTACCCTTTCGGCATTGTTTACCATAGGGCAGTAGAAGGCCATCTTCATGTGGATGATGTTGTGCTTCGCGATCAATGCCTTGAATGCTGCCGAGATGAACTGCTTCCCATTGTCCGAGAGAATGATCCGAGACAGAGAAAATTTTAGAAAGACGTGTTCCTCCAGGAAATCCACCATCTTCACGGAATCCGCTGCTCTCATAGGATGCACCACTACGTATTTCGTCGCCCAGTCGACTATCACGAGCATTACCGTGTTCCCGCTACGCGCGATCGTGTGAACGGGCCGACAAAATCCACTCCCATGGTAGACGAGCAGGCTTGAGTCCTCCCATGTTAGGCATCATCGTGGTGTTCGGTGCTTTGCTTGCTTTGCAGGTTCCGCAGCTTCTCACGTAGCGCGCCACATCGTCCATCATCATGGTTTTGCAGTTTTTGCCACGTTTTCTGGAAGCGTAGATGTGCTCCGGAAGTTGAATCGTGAAACCTTCCGATGACCTCTGCGGAACGACCTTCTTCCATCTGTGGACTAGTACACCGTCCTCGTTTCTGCTGCTGAAGTTCTTGTAGAGCTTCTGATTTGCTAGCCGGAAGTCCGGGAACTTGTCGGCATCCTGTTGTACACGCTCGGCAAGTTTATGGTACCACGGGTCGATCGATGCATCCACGGAGAACACTAGCAACGATACGATCCTGGACAGCGCATCCGGCACGGTGTTGATCACTCCCTTGCGGTACTTTATATCGAAGTCGAAGGCGTTTAGTCTGAGTATCCAGCGACTCATGACAGTATACCGTGAACTTTATCCCTTCAACGTAGCCACGGAATTTCTCGATCGGTCGAATTACGGCCAAACACCCTCGCTCAGTCACCGAGTATTTGCGCTCCGATGTGGATAGCTTCTGCAAAAAGTACGCTATCGGATGCTCTTCCCCGTCCGTTTCCTGCGTCAGCACCGCTCCATTCGTCACAGGCGATGGAAAATGGTTTCGTATGATCTAGCATCGCCAAGACCAGTGCTGAAACGAGTGCTGACTTGAGCTTCAGAAAGGCCTCTCAATCTTCCATCCGTCCTTGTTCAACACGTATCCCAGATACCTCATTCCCTCCAGGCAAAACTTGGATTTTTCAGCGGGAATCGTGAGGTTTGCCTTGTTTAATCGTTCTGCAACTTTCTCCAGCATTGCGATATGTTCCTCAAAAGTGCGTGAACAGATGATAATGTCGTCTAGATAATGAAAAAGATGAGGCTCCAAATCAGCAAAGAAGTACGTCATCAGCCGTGCTAGAGCCTGACTCGCCGTGCAAAGTTCAAAGGGTACCAACTTGAACTGAAAGTGCCCTCTTTGCGGCACTGTAAACGCAGTCACATGCAGCTTGTACACTAGGCCATCATGCCAGACATTGCCTTCTCGACGTCCAATAATGCCATGGCAGATGTATTGGAAACGGACTTATTCCGCTTGATGATATTAGTAACCCGTGCGAGTTGGTGGATGGTAGAGTGACATTTCCTAAATCCGAATTGCTCTTTGAGAAAGATCTTATTATCATTTGAAAACTCCAGCAGACGGCTGAGTATCAACTTTTCGAATAGCTTCGAGATGGAGGACAAGAGGCTGATGGAGCGATAGCTTTTGGCACTGGTCGAATCTTTACCAGGTTTGCGTATTGGAATCACTTTGGCTAACTTCCAGCATGCAGGAAAGTAGTCAAACTCTAAACATTTGTTTAAGATAACGGTAAGATGGTTGAAGAAGTCAATACTCAAGTTTTTCAACTCGAGGTTGACTACACCATCCATACCCGCAGCCTTCATGTTTTTAGTGCTTCTAATAGCTGCTATCACCTCATCAGCCGATATACTACTATCATCATGCACTACTACGGGGGTGGTGGGGCAGCCCAGAACGCTGGAACTGCCTGATAAGATCTTTGGTTGGGCTGTCAAGGTTCAGAGTATGACTCACCTGTCTGGATGCTGGTACGTGTTGCTCCCTGGCACGCGATATCACCTCTTTGATGGTTTGCAGACACTGATCGACTTCTTCGAGCGACTCCGGTAGGATGTCGTAATCGATTGCTGTGTTCACACAGCGCTGATACTGCTGCCAGTTGACGCGATGGTAATTTTGCCGGGAAACTTGAAACCTATTGGCCGAGGAACCTACTTCGGCCACCACCGGATAGTGGTCCGAGCTCAGTTCCTGATAGGCTATAGGTTGAGAGATGTTATCGCCGCTGATGAAGATGTCAATGGTGGCATGAGCTCCGGATCGACTCAACCGGGTGGGAATGTCTGGATACAAGATGTTGTAGTCGGCTTCCTGCAGATCGTTGTACAAGATTGTTCCGTTCTGGTTTCGCCGACTATTGCCCCAGGCTTGATGCTTGACGTTTAGGTCACCAGCGATGACGACATTTTGCCGCCGTCGTGTTAGCTTGATGATGTCTCTTCGGAGGTCTGTGGCCGAGCCGTCAATAATGTTGGTTTACTTGGGGCAGTAGTTTGCGATGATGGTGATTGGACCAAGCGATGTGCTCACCTCAACTCCGATGGCTTCGATAATTTTCATCTGGAAGCTTGGTAGTAGCCGGCAGCTGATGTTCCGTCTCGCAGCAGTGGCCACTCCCCCTTCTTCTGCTCTTCAAGGAGCAAGCATTCCAATTTACGATCTTGATGGCTTCACGGTCCATATTTAGTGAGAAGGGACAGGGTAGTATGTAGCTGTTCAGATCGAGTCTTGCAGGTGGTAATGATGATGATGACCTCGGCCACGAGCGTCACAAGTTCCTCCAAGGTGAACGGAGAATCGTCGACAGATTCACCTGAGACAGCACCAGCGTATGATAAACCAGGGGCGGTGGATTAACCTGGAATTGGATGGGCCGCAGCAGCAGCGAGACGATGCTGAACTGTCCGTCTGTTGGGAACCATTTGGATACTCGCAGGATTGGCTTGTTGGTTGTCGAGCGGAAGCGGGGCTAGGTTCGGAACATGTCGACGGGGCTGGAGAGCTGGGTACTGAACTTCCGTGAGTACAGGAGGCGAACGATGATTACGGAGGCGACTGAGCTGGTTGTTGATTGTAGCCTTCCGACGGATATTCATGAACTCCACTCGCTTGGGACATCCGCGATTGAAGGCTTGGTGGTTTCCACCGCAGTTGACACACATTGGCTCGATGTTATCATCTTGCTTACAGGACGCAGTTGAGTGAGTTCCCGCACACTTGCCGCAGTTTGTCTTCATATGGCATTTTTTAGTGCCATGGGCATAGTAGAGGCAGTCCATACACTGCATAACATCATAATGTTTCGGTTTGTAACACTCCCAACTGATGATGACCTGAAACAGGTCCCGGATTTTGGATCTCAGAGCCGCAACACTGGTGGATCCCTTCGTGAAGTGCACCAGGAACAACTGATCACGTAAGCTGGTGTTGTGGTTGGAACGCCGGTTCATCGGGTACACTGTCTCAGGCTTGAGCCGCAGCCTCGAACGACGGTAATCCACCATCAGTGGCTTGCTCGATGGCAGATCATGTGTGAAGAAGTCCACGTTGTTGTCTTTTAGGAAACATCCTCCTCCAGGCTGGAGCACATGATTTTGGTACCAATACTGCAAAGCTTGAAGCGGGGCAGCAGCTTGTGTTTTGCCAGTTTGGCACCCAGCTTGGCAACATCCTTCGCCGGCGTGAAAAGCGAGGGAATCCACTTTCTTCTTGCAATGGGAACGGCGTCACCATCGCCATTTTCTTCCTGGAGTACTGCATACTGGTTGGCTTGCAGTACTCGTTTTCCGGCGTTATCCTGCGACGCGCTGGGCTTGATTAGCACCTTCTTTGAAGGGCCCGCTGCTGGCTCATTGGCACGTTTACGCACCATTTGTTTGCAAGTTCAAGTAAACTTGCCAGAACGCGAGAAGGTGGCGACACTTCCACGGCGCAACGCGACAGCAAGCCAGTTGAAAAAAAATATGAGCAGAGCAGCGCTGTTTTATATTTGTTTAGGTACAAGCAAAACGATTTGCAACAAATTGGTACTCGATTATGACGTCTGGGTTTGGGAAAAAACATTTATTTCATGAAAACAGTAACAAAATTATCATGTGTACATATTTCAGCTTTTTTTTGAGAAAATAGGAAAAATATGTATTTCAGCAGATTTGTAATGTAATATCCTATCGATTGGCGTATTTAGATTTTAATTTCATCTATAAATGACAAAGTTACAAGCGTTCAAAATCTAACACTATTTCAATAATAGAAAAACAACGGTGTCAACAGTTTCACCCTGAAGAAGCTGTTCCCAGTCAACCGATGAAAATTCAGCATTGAGAGAGTCGAAGTCGCAGCGCTTAAGTTCCAGATCAAGAGAATCGCTGGAGACATTAGTTTGTGTAATGATTATGCTCATTGGCTCCCAATCCCTGCTACCAAATTTGAAATAAAATTAAAGCAATTAAGAGCTCGTTAAAATTTCCCAAATCGAAACATTGAAGCTCGCCTCCGTTCATGCCAAACAGCGAATAGAATTCAGGGAGTTATCAATTATTTCCACATTCGGCGACGGGGAAAAGCCTGAGGTAGTCTACTGAGAACGCAACAGCGCAGCAGAACCGTTCGTTGACGTAGAGAGAAAAATTTCAATTATTATTCATTTGAAGTGCTGCATGATGATTCTTCCCACGGGGATATTTGGCAGTGGTGGCGGCAGTCGATGTCGACGGTGATGATGATGATGATGATGATGATGATGGTTATTATGCATGCACCAGACGCGTGGTGTGTGAAAAAATCTAATTTTCATATCAAAGGGAAAATTTTCACTGACGGTTTTTGGCTCGAACACCAACGCAGAAATATGGATATGTGTGTGTGTATGTACGTATCCACGCATTTCAATGTGGGGGAGATTGGATTGCTGTTTCACATTGCCCCCTGGTTGGAAGTGGATTGTGTGAAGAGTGAATTGTACATTTGATTGCGCGCATGATGGAGACCATGCCATCTGGTATTCATGAGCTTTATTTCATATTGTCGAATCAAATTTCATGCTTGATCTATGATTACAGGTAGGGAAATTTTCGTATTCTCGTCAATGCTAGCAAAATTTTCTCAACATTTTTACATCGCTCCAAGCTTCCCAGGTAAGTGTGACTATTGTCAGCACCC